TTAGTTCACTGTTTCTATTTATTTCTTTACTGATATTTCCTTCCGCATATCTACTGACAATGTCTATATATATCCCCACCTGTTGGTCTATGTCCGCGGAACAGATGATGATTTTACCAGAGTAAATTAGATTCGACTCCTATCCTCGTTTCGAAACTCATTTGAACGATCTGCCATGAGTAATTAATTTTCGATAAATGGTGGTAATCAGTAAATGGTATTTAGGAAATGGAAGACAATTAGGTTAAAGTTGTTTGAATTAACGACTTGTTAAAACCGTATAAAGAGTTAAAAAGAAAAAATATAACTGACAGAATGTAATTTAGAAATATACGGTGATTTAAGAAAGATCGTTTCATATCGCCACTTGCTTTTTAATACACTTAAGTACATTATATATATATATATATATATATATATATATATATATATATATTATTTATTTTGCTTAAACGTTATTTTTTTTTATGCTTATATTCAAGGACAGTTTTTTAATTAAAAGTATTTTCCAATTACATCTATCGGTCCGAATATTCAAGATATTTTGTCAATGTAGTTGTATCAAAAACACAGTATAAATAAAAAAAAAATAAAAGAGTTTCTATTCGAATATCACTATCCATCAAAGATAAAGAATAAAAATATTTAGGATTTAATCCATTTTAATATATATATATATATATATATATATATATATATATATATATATATATATATATATATATATATATATATATATATATATATATAAATGTATATATATATATATATATATATATATATATAATGTATGTATGTATATATATATGTGTGTGTGTGTTATATATATATATATATATATATATATATATATATATATATATATACATATATAGATATATATGTATGTATATATATGTGTGTGTGTTTATATATATATATATGTTTATATATATATATATATATTCTGTGTATTTAGGTAGCAAATGTTCTTTCAAGCAGATTCTATTAAAAACGACAAATATTTTGTGTCGATTAATTTTAATTATCGACTTTTCCAAGTTACAAATAATACTTGACAGGCATGAAGAAAATTCCATCAGAAATTGCGCGAAGTTCTTATTGGAAGAAAAGCACACGCGATTTCATGACAAGCGCTTTCATCGCATACTTCTAAAAGCTTATTTCAAAAATAGCTTTCAAAATTAGTCCCTACTTACCCTGATGATGAGTTAACAAAATCGAAAGTTCGGACCATGTTTCCTGTATTTTTCTTCTGAAATGAACTTTCTGTTGGCATATCCTCCTTTTCAGAGAAGGTTTATTGAAACCTTGGATGAGTTGATCATTAAAATTAATCAACACAAAATCTCTAATGAATTTAATTATATATATATATATATATATATATATATATATATATATATATATATATATATATATATATATACACGGTGTCCCCAAAATGTATACAACTTTTAGTTTATATTTTTTTAAAGTGTGTATACATTTTGGGACACCAACCATCTATCTATCTATCTATCTATCTATCTATCTATCTATCTATCTATCTATCTATCTATCTATCTCATATATATATATAGAGAGCATATTTTTATTTATGTCTATTTATTTTTATAACAATAGTTCCTAGTTTTCTAATCAGTTTTTTGATGTTACAATTAAATTCATCAAGGAAGGCCCCGTAGTTTTTCTTAACTGAATACTTTATATATAAATTAATTTCCTTACAATATAAGTCTTCTCTCTATTTTAAATACTTTTGAAAAACTTGAAGCTCAGAAAGAATTTTAAGTAAGATATAGAAAAATGTTCTGCCATTTAAATACGAAAGATAAAAAAATAAAATGTTGACAAAATATATGTGTAGCTAAAAATGAAGGAGAATTTTGCTCTCTAAATGATTACGGGTTAAGATATTGAATAACTATACTGCGATTATATGAAGGAAGATGAAAGTAAACTATATTCAAGATTTAAGAATTTTGTCATCACAACTTGTCGCTTCGGCAAAAAGAACATAATTACCAGAAAACTTTTTAAATGTTAATAAATGGGGGAACAGTTTCCAGATACAAAAACAAAAAACAAACAAGAAAAAAGAACTAAAAAAAAACCAAAAAAAAAACCAAAAAAACAAACAAACAAAAAAGACAGCTGAACAATTTTTCTGTTAATTTTCGAAAACATTTTAATTTATGAATTCCCAGAAAAAAAAAAAAAAAAAAAAGGATATTTCCGGGGATGAAATATTGAACAAAGTTGATTCAATTAAATAAAATTCTAAATGAGTTATAGCCGTTCAGGCTTTGTTTGCAAAATCAAGTGGACCAAAAATGCTATCAAAATTTTTCACACACTGACACATATATATATATATATATATATATATATATATATATATTAATGATTTCACTCGAAGCAAGGCGAAAATGCCCCTAAGAGTAAGAGGTAACATGTTACTAGGAGTGAAAGAGAATAATAGTACGACTTTAGGAGAAGGAACCGGAAATGCAATCCTACACAGGAAACAAGGGATAAAACTTTACACTTGCTTAAAAGAGGGAAAAGGCTATGGAACCGGGTGATAAGCAAACCTATATCTATCTATCTATCTATCTATCTATCTATCTATATATATATATATATATATATATTGAACAATAAAAAAATATTAAAAATTAAAATCTTTAGAGACACTGGTTGTAGATTAATATTCTTTCGTTTTTTTTATTATTATTTCATTTAGATTCATATATATATATTTATTTATATAATTGCGTGTGCGTGTGTACAAACTGCATTTTGCGATTGTTATGCAACTCAATGTTTAGCAATAAAATTGTTATCAATCATCCGATGTTAATTTTCCTCACACACACACACACACATATATATATATATATATATGTGTGTGTGTGTATGTGTGTATATATATATATATATATATATATATATATATATGTGTGTGTGTGTGTGTGTGTGTGGTTAGATTCAGCTGTTCGTTTTCGCATGAATCACCTTGTAAATTTATGATTCAATACCCTTTTAATGCCCTGGTCCTAAACTTAAATATGATTACTATTCATATAACATTTATATATAAACCTACACCACTCTTTCATATATATATATATATGTATATATATATGTATATGTATATATATATGCAAACAATTTATATCAAATACAACTGACGAGGTGTATCAGTTTAATTTTATATAGTATCTTTCTCATTTTCTATTAAGATGTTTTATATTGGGAGTGAAATTGTAGATAAATTCTGTATCGCATTATCCAAAACCCTTATTGAAAAATTTGAAAAAAATAAATAAAAATAGATAGACTGACTTTGCCGGTCGGTTCTTTTTAATCAAATATGAATATTTGCTGCTTAATTACATCTTATATTATATATATATATATATATATATATATATATATATATATATATATATATATATATATATATATATATATATATATATATATATATGTATATATATATATATATATATGTGTGTGTGCGTGCGTGTGTGTTCGAATGTTTTGTTGACATAACCATTATCTGCGCAGATAATGTAATCATGTGAACAAATTCCGGCCGACTGCTCTTTAGCCTTGTTATGGCAATCAGTGTATGTAAAGGAAAGGGCTGAGTTCCAGTCCCATCTGCTACTGTTTTATGGGACAGCATGACAAGGTCTCTGTTTCCCCAAATCAAAAAGTCCGTTGGGATAATTTGGCTCATGTAGAAGACTGAAAAAAATGACGTATACTAAATAAACAAAATGTATACACACGTACATACATGTCTAATTAAAATCGGCAAACAAGGGGACTTTTAACGTGTGCAGTAAAAACTTAAAAACTTCTTAAGTTTTTGATCCAGGATATTTGTTCCTTCACATTGTAAGAGTGAGTTTTTTTTTTATTTAACAAAGACATTAAGTCTTTTATTTCTTATTATGGCAACATAGAAGCGAGTATCTTTTTTTCCGATTATGTATTTATAATGTATTTAAATTTCGCATTAATGTGATCTTATTTAAATTTGGACTCATTTAAAGGGAGTAAGAATTTTAAAAAAAGGTTGTCTGAAGTTTAATCAAACCCGTATTAAGGAAAGATATGTTTTCACAAGTTCATGTCATGTTTTATATAAGATATTCCTGACACTTCTTACATTTTCGAGTGCTGGTGATTGAGTTCTTCATTGCCCTGCGTTTTAAAGCATCATAAGAGATTACCGAAGATCATCTACATCTGGGTTCCGTTTCAAGAGAAAAATCATCACACTTAAATTAATAGTACAACTAGATATTGTGTTATTTCCTTCAACTTGTAAATACGTGGGAAACCACAGTGACTTTGAAACCTAGTTTAAAAAAAAAATACTTAAAATAACATCTGAAACAATACGTATACATAGAGATTTATATTACTTCAAACGTTATTATAGATGACCCATTTTATTTGAAAGGGTGCGTATCACGTCTGTCAGCATGCGCATTCGAGAGAAAGACAGAGACGCACGTTCGATACCTACAGTGGAAATATTTTCTTTACTAAGATTTCTGAAAGGCGAAGGCCGATAGGCGTAATACACTCATTAAAATAAACATGGGGCATTTAATTCAAATACGAATGTCCATAATAATGACAATTGCAATCGTATATATATATGTGTGTGTGTGTGTGTGTAGATATATATATATATATATATATATATATACTTTTTAAGTAATGAAAATGTCGGATTAAAATAAATCCATTAATTCTTTACACACACAATATATATATATATATATATATATATATATATATATATATATATATATATATATATATATATATATATATCGATAATATTGTGGGTTCAGAGATAGTTATTGAGAGACTGATATAAAATAATTTATAGATTGCAAATACAAATACTTTTGATACACCATTATATGCAATAAGCATCTACTATACTAGGCTTACGGGCATATTATGTT